TGAACCTCCGAAACCCCAAAAAGTAATGTCTGGTGAATGCTTCCTCCAAAGCAGGTGTCCAGAATCCATACCTCAATATTTTGAATCTTATTATATAATATCAATATTATAATTATATATATATATAATATCAATATTTTGAATATTATATATATTATTATTTCAAATTAATCACAATTCTAAAAATGTACCATTCTCTGTAACAATAAAACCAACACAGCGGCACACCATATATGGTGGTAACTTCCCACTAAACATTACAAAATTCACATTCTATAGTGCCGTGTAAATAGGTCTACATTAAAAATAATTGTTACCTAGAAATAATGAATGCTAATAGAACTGACAATTTGATCAAAATACATTTTAATTGACACTAAGGACAACAATTAATCTGATACCAAGGGCAGTACAAGAGTTTTGCATACTCGACATATTAACCATTTGTAATATTTTGATCGATTAAAGATTAAAAGAGAAAGAGTAAGACCCATTTTCAAAGAACACTTTTATATTTTTAACCAATTATATTAAAAACAATTCGCTTGATAAGTTCATCTATCTTTTTCAGCTCAACCCTGTTTCAGATAAAATGTACAAACTACATATATTTTTGTCTTCAATTAAAAATAAATTATTTTTCAACAATTTTCACAACCAGAAATTATAACCCCCAATGGTTCAATCCTAATAAGGAAATCTCTCGGATTCAGGAGATTGAGGATTATGTAAATTCCTCTGAGTTCTGTTCAAAGTTAAAAGTCCTGTGCAAAAATGGGCTTATTATACTTATATAGCGTTCAGTATTACATACCTAGTGAAGCATTTACAATAGATGTCAATGGGAAAGTAAGCAGGCTATATCGACCAATATTGCCCACTTATACTGACATTGCCCTCTTTCTTTGTAACCATGACAATATCATGACATTGCCTCATGTTTCATTTCCAATCCAAATCCAAATTCTACTCGCACACAGATGTGTGACATCATTGATACCATGGTAATAAAGAATGCAATACATCAGTTATGTCACTAGGACGTGAGATATGCCTTTGTTCTTGCCCAAAGGACCTTATACACCCGCCATTGGGATCTCCCCATGGGAAAAAAATAATGCATCTGATTTTTCAAAATGAGTATTCTGCTTCAATTATTACATTTATATGCACACTAGTATCTTGTTGACCTATATTCATCACTGTATTGATGTATAGGCCACTTATTAGGGTCATAATTCAATCATGAAGTGTAGAGGCATAGATTCCAAACCAGGAAGTATTTTTGTGTCTGTCAAAATCCATTTACATCCTACGCATCCCTGCATCTTATCCAAATATGTTACTACATAATGGAATATAATAGTATAATCTTTGGTTTAACAAACTTGTATGATATTTGATAAGTGTAAAAGTTGTTTTTGGAGCATTTTTCTATAGCCATTTTGTAGGGAAAAAAATGATGAAAAAATGTACAATCTTTTAATTTTAAGTATGACCTGAATCGATTGCAAACTTCATATTTGCACATTTGATGAGATAAACCATTTGTGTCGTATTGTGAAATTATTAAGTTTGCAATCGATTCAGGTCATAGTGTATTTTTGGTATTTCTGTGATAATCAATTGAAACCAATGGCCTCTATTGGGATCTGCTGATATCCTCATATTAAGTCAATGGTGCACAGCCCCATGTAAGTCAATACAACCTTACTGAACGAAATGATCCCTATCTCAGCTGATGTGTGTCCGAGCACTTTAATATTTTCCAAAGTATTATATGACATTTTATTCTTCATGTTACACCTACGAATGATTCATTTTGACCATAGGGATTTTTGCCAATAATTGCACCTTGTCCTTTAGAGACTCCAAAGTCGGTCAATATTGGCAGAACTCGGGCATATTTCACGTAAAAGTGACATAACCTTGAATTATACCAGTTAAAAGATCAATGAAGTAAGTCACTCCACTTACTGGTTATGATTGTCATTCTTACCCTTCAAGAGCTTAAATATGATAACTTATTGCTAATTTTGGTCACAAACATTGCTGCCTGAAAAAGTAAAATTAGGCAGACAAATAAAAAAAAACTAATGGCAAGGAGGTATTATCTTCTATGTACCATAATTTTCACCATTTAGTCGAAAACAATTTTGTTTTTTGTTTGCTACACCCACTTATACATGTAAACTCATGGCATTACAATAGGTTTTTATTGATTTGATATTTTTTCAAAATATGTGAACATTTGTTACTACATCAATGCTTATAACTGGATTTAGTATAAAAATAGCTTATCACAACCGTGTCTAGTTTAACAATGAGAATTGAACAAAATGAAAAGGAAAGATTTTAAAGCTAACTAATTGATCAATTGCAATTTATATTAATATACAGTATATATTTACAAACATACCAAAATAAAGTTGAGAGATTTTTCCTTGATCAAATGTTCAAGTTTATAAGCTTCCTAAGACAAATCTGAATCTTTCATAAATCAAAAAATGATCTTTACAAGTAACTTTATAAGTACAGTATAAGTAATAAGTGAACTTGAAAACATTACAATTTTACCTTAAATATGAGAAATAATGAGAAATGTTTACCAAGATTATATGGTTAATTCTGTCTGTGTCAAATGGTCTGTGATTCATGAGAACAGACTTAGTTTGCATTTAAGTTATTCACCCTAAGTTCCACTAGAAGGACGTTAAGACAAGTTGAATAGATGGCAGTTCAACTGATATGATGTATACCTAGATACTATACACTAACAGCAGTGCAATTGTTCACAAATCAAAGTTATAACAGTGTCAACAGGCTGTAAAGTTAAGTGAAGTAATAATGGCCTAGTCACATAGCCCGGCCGATGAGGTTCCGATGAGCCAGCGATGCAATTTTCACCGAACTCGGCCGAACACCGGCCGGACATCCGTGGCGTTTGTTGCTTAAAATCGCATCGGTGGCAGCTCGGTGAAATTTTAACTTCGGAGTTAAATTTCACCGGGCTCTCACCGAGCTCCCTCATCGCAGCCCCATCGTAACCACATCAGAACACACGTCGGCCGGTGCACGGCCGAGTATCGGTCGGTGTCCCGTGCATCTGAGACAACCAGAGGACGAGGTTTTTTTAACGGACACCGGCCGAGCTCCGACCGAGCTCCGGCCGAGCTCCGACCGAGCTCCGGCCGATGTGGGACAGAGCCTTGGAAAGTATAGTACCTGAAGATATCCGGACGGAGTCCGTTCACGTCACCGAGCTCTGCTTCCGATGAGGAGAGCTCGGTGGCACCAAAAAAATCCACCGAGCTCTACCGATGCCGGACATCGGCCGGGCTATGTGACTAGGCCATAAGGTAGTTCACAAATAACATTAATTCTAGGCTAATTTATGGAGCTTTATAAAACATACATTTCATAACAATTTGATTCACATGAACAGGGGAGTCAAGCATTATTCACTCATCCCAGTTTTCTGTCTGATACATAGCAGAAGAATATGCATTTTTTTAAATTCAAGTTTTATTGCAGACATTTTGCACACTTTGAGATATTTCTGATCTTTTTTTCTGAAATTTTTTCAGCTTTTGAATAATTGTCATTTGACTCATGGATCAGATGGAATTTTCAGTATTTTTCAGTTGGTATATCTAAATGATCATATGTAGCACCACTTAATCAGATCATTAATAAATCATGTTTAAAACCATGTTTATATTGTACTCATCTCCAAAACAAATTCATAATCACAAATTAGTCACATTACCATAGTTGCACCAAATATGGCAACATACATTGAGAGAAAGGACAGGTAGAATGGTGATTTATACTGTTGAGAATGAGAAGTAAAGTTAAGTTTTACGATGAAAAGATGAATAACTGGAGACTTGAAACTAACGAGTCCTGAAGTTAATGTGAAGTGGGATTTTTTAAGTTGTTCAAAATACAGTAATAGATAAATACAAGTCAAAGGCACATGTGGCTGCTATATGCAAGCTCACCTAGGTAGACTTGCATTGTTGAATTTTTCAATAAAAATTTTGATACTATGGAAAATTTGCAATTTTGTTCAGAAAACTAAGATGTGTGAATATCATGTTTTGAAAGTACAGTACATGAACACTTTGAACAGTAATTGAAAGTATTATAAATATTAAATTTCTAGTGTGCTGTAATAATCCCCATAGCTTTATTTTACATTTGCATAATATATAAAGTGAGAAAACACTTAATTAATAGAAATAAGAACATGACTAAGACATTTTGTAAATGTATACTACATGCCTGTAGAAAGGTTTCATCGAGGGGGCTTAATATTGCTCAGATTTAACTCCTTGTATTGCTGCTTGATGTCAGCTTTGCTATTTTTGATGAATAAGTGCAAGGAGCTCACGGATCTCGAGCAAACAACCTCAGAGAAATTTCACCAAGAATCTTTTCTGACACTCGTTACATCTCTGAGGTCCTGCAATTAAAGGAAGCTATAAAGAGAACACCGGGGTTTCATTAGCAGCAGGCAACAGGCGATTTTCAATGGTGGTTTTCAAATTGCCTGTTGTTCTTAAGGACTTTTCAAAGTTAAATTTATGATTTCCATTATATTAATTTTGCCCGTTGTTTTCATTTATTTAGCCTGTTGTGAGAAATTCTAGTGAAACCCCTGGAACATTATTCACACAATAATAATAGAGGTACAATGTGGGTTACATATTTGTTTCAAACCTATTTGTTTAAATCAAATGTTTGGAACTGTTTCAAATTGGTTCGTTAAGTCTTTGGAATATCAATGGTAAATACATAATGTCATACAGCATACAGCATTGACTGATAAAAAAAATTGTTGTGGTATACCAGAATGCCACAGTGCTTATTTTATTGTAAAGGAACAATTGTTTCTTGACAATATTGCCCCTCAAGCCCTTTAAGCTACAGGCCTGAACTATACTTTACTTGCAGTTCAACTGGTACCCTGTACCAGTTTGTCTGTATACATAATGTCACACCTAGTGTCATATAAACATTGTACATAATGCCTGCTCCTACACAAGCCATTCAAAAATGCATAAATCTAAGCATTACTGGAAGGTCTAGCCTGCCTCTATCAGTCTATCTACTTCTTTATACTCATAAAGAAAAGCTTATCCATAACAAGCTCCGATTTTTCCACATTTTGTAGTCACCCAGATTTTTTTTGTATCAAATGTTGGTATTACAAATGTACAGGTAACTCAATGAGTTTAGATTCTGTTTCTATCCCCCATGAACACTGCGTAATATTTACCACATATCTGTTGTAGACTATCAGATCACGGTTCTGTTTAGTTTATATATAATGTACCTTCGGTCATATGCTAAGGGGTCTTCCACTCGGACCCAGTAGCCAGAGGCCATGTAACAGTGGCTCCCCCTATCCTGAGGGTGTGAAATGAAATGATGAGAGCTAGTGTTCTCTGAAAGTGATGTGAATGATGAATTAATGATATGAGTAGATTTCAGGATTGTTTTACACGTTTCCTTGGAGGACCTAATGGAGGTGACTGTTGACTTGCGAGTGCCCGAAAAGCATCGGCTACGAGATGAGGATGGCTTTGTACCATTGTTTTCCAGCCTTGGGTTTCCATTACATCTGTTGCATGGCTGCAAATAAACAAACACAAAAGATAAATAGTATGTACAATCAAAGTTCACACGTACAAGAGAACAAGAGCAACACTGGCTTCATTTTGTGTTTCGTGTTTAACATTCCCTAACTTATTTGATTATTTCAAAATCTCCCAACTTTTTTATAAAATCCAGGGGCCTGAAAACAAATATGTTTCCTGATATATCCAGGTTTGTGGGAATCAAATGAGTAATGTATGAAAACCACCATTTGAGCTTATATTACCTCTTTAACCTGCACTTCGTCACGTGCAATTATTACATCAGAAACTGTGTTGATTTATGTACATAATCATAGGAGAATGTCGTAGCAAACATGTGCTTCTATAGATAGACTTATTATGATATGACAATAATGAGGAAATTATATTGCGCAATTCTAAACAGAATCATATGGGGAGATCCATGAAATACGTTGATACTGGATTAATGGTTAATTAATAGGTTAGAGAGCAAAACCAGGGAAAACCAGGGATAACCAGCATTAATGTTGGTAAACGCTGGACCAACTTGAGAAAATAGGCTTGCATCCAACCAGCTGAAAAATTGCACCCGATGAGAAAATTAGAAAATCATGAAAAATTGGAATATTCTAATCAGCTTTGGTCAATATTGGGAAATTGAAACTTTCACCCATGTGAAAAAATCAGAGAGAACACTGACAATCCCTCACATTGTTCTTCCATGTGAATAATTGAAACAGGCTTGAATAAGAAAAGACTGTATTACACATCCAACATTGTAACAAAGCTGAGACATATGCCACAAACCTATACTAATACAGGGAGGCAATAATTAATGTGCTGTTAAATCCTACGTCACTCTCCTATCTAATTGAAATAAAAACATATTGTTGATTGGAAAGTAAAAAAGTCCGTCAACTTGAAAATATTGATCAAGTCGCGATAACCATCCCTACAGTGCACACTGACCCTGACACACAATGGAGTTTGAGTTAACTTGCTCTGTCATCAAATGTCAGAATATAGGGAAGATCGAGATCGCCATGTTTTTTAAAGGGTACTTAAATACAAGGGGACACTGAATATTAAAAACACTCTTAAATAACTAGGCAATCAATCTGGCATAAAGGGCTGTACCGCTATATCATTGTACATGTACTAAAAAAAAAACTTCTGATTTTTCAGCAAATGAAGCATATGTAATCATGTTGTATCGTGACAATCCTTCAATAAAGAAAATGATAAAAAAACACAATATCATTATCACCAAACGGAAATTTTATCAAGAAAAACATAATGTTGATAATTGAGGAGGTTACATCAATAATAGCAAATTGATTATTTCCTCCATGTATTATGAGACTATTATTATTGACAACTTTTGCCTAAGGAACGGCACTGGACAAAAACTCTCTGAAGTATCACATGAAAATTCATAAGAAACAAGTAATTTCAATTTGTTCAGAAACCAGTACATTTTTGGGTGCAAGCTCACTACCTAATATACTGGTAAAGATGAATGTTCTATTGTCACATTCTAGAAAGAATTTGGCAAGGGTTCTGATATTTCAATTTTGCTATTCATGTCTCATCTTTGTAATGCTATACTTTGTCACACTGCATCCTGATGGAATGCTATTTCACTTATATATTCAGTGCATCAAGAAACCCTTTCAGCAGTTTCATGTTAATTTTGCTTCTTTTAAAAGAGAGTTTCAAGTAATTACTAGTCGCATGGGCCTCTGAAACTACAAGGAAGGTCTCATGTTTTATGAAACCAGTAGGCATTAGTTCAGCTTCGGTTAGAGTACTTAACATAAATCAAGAGATCGTCTTGACATATAGCCCCAATGACAACTGACCTGTTTTATTCAAATGTGTAGAATACTGATTGCAATATGTCTGATACATTAACATTGCCTGCGTTTTGTTGCTAAAAATAACAATGGTTTTTACGAAATAATATGGTATCGTGTGTTGGATGCCCACGCGCAACAGTCCTTTTCTCTTGACAGCTTGGGGTTGTGTACCAAATACACTCAGTCAGGTGTCATTTCGAGAAAGTTAAGATGACATTGTATCATTTGCAAGTCATTTAAAAGACATGAATGAAAGAGAATCAATATCTTTTAAATTTATACAAACATAACGTAGGTTGATATATTGAGAAGCTGGCTGATAAAGTACATTCATTGCGTCATTCTGCTCTTGTAACAAATTATTATTGACAATAGATTTGTATTTTATCTTTCAGATCAGGATGCTACTTGTGTAATTAGCAGAAAAAGGTAGAGTTCCACATGAAAAATTGCTTCCGCTTTGTAAATACGTAAACAATGTAAACAGCCCTTAAAATAAGATTTCAAGTATATATCCTAGCATCAATATAATACATGTAAGTTCAATGTAGATATGAGTTACCAGGGATATTTAATTATTTTCTGGACAGACAAATTTAGAGACAAAACAGATGCACATTTTATATATACTGAGGATTAATTACCTCCCTCAAACTTATTTAGAACATAATTTGAAACAAAGTTTACTTTGGAAAAAAGCAAATCGTTCTTCAAGGTGAATATATGAATTAAATGTTCCCAATGATAGTTTACTTACCTATTTATAAAGTCTATGGCATGTGTTTTAAGTTGTTCTGCACTATGTAAATCTGCTAGAACAAGGACCTCAGATACATTGTCAACTAAAAGGTTGGTGCATAGTGCTTCTTCACACATCACCTTTAGTCGCTCAAGAGCATACTGAAATATAAAGATACATTGTCAATCAGGAAGAGTGCTTCTTCACACATCACCTTTAGTAATTTAAGAGCATACTGGAATATAAAGATACATTGTCAATCAGGAAGAGTGCTTCTTCACACATCACCTTTAGTAATTTTAAGTACACACTGAAAAACAGATACACTGAGGAGTGCTTCTTCATTTTTCCCATTGTGCAAGAAACTCAAAATACATAACAGAGATTACTGTTTCTGACCCATGTTACATATATTGACACGTTTATGTGTATGATACCATTATCAATGCGGCTACCACAATAAATTACATGCAGGACTCAATGTACCAGTTTTATTAACATGCAAATTATTACATATACTAAATCATTTTCTTTACCTTGTTAAAATTTATAAACATTTTCACAAAATGGGATCCGGTCAATCTTGGTATGTTATACATGTATAAAAATGAGGACAATAATTTCTTCAACTTGCCAAGAACATTATTATCGTGTTATTCAAGGAATGCAATAGATGGTAATTGATATAATCTTTTAAAAGAATAAAAAATAAGTGAAAATATATATAGAACTAGACATGCACCTGCATCATGAATTATGTCTAATAGCATGATAAAGTGTCAGAAATAAGAATTGTATGTTATGCTAAAATATTAATTTTGTGAGGCTGAGGCAATTTAATTATCTGGTTTACCTAAAGAAAGGTAAAGGTTTTAAAAGGATGGGAAATTTTGAAGGGGTTGTCCTGTTGAAAGGGAAATAACCTTACTTTGTCTGCAGCTGCTAAGAGATCATCTGCCATTTTTTCTAAATTTGGGGCTTTCCCAGTATATATAAAGCGTAAAAGTTCCCGCATCACTTCTTGGTCAACGTCTGTAATTTCAACTCTATTTTGTTTTCTCTCTTCCATCTCGTGTTCAAACATGGCGTTAAACACGGGGGACCGCGCTAAAAGCATAGAAATAAAGGTACATAGAGCAATGGGAGGATAATGTTACTTGATTAATTCAATATACACGGTTAAAATGACACAATAATGACATTAAAGTTATCTTAACCTTTGAGAAATCATAACTTTATTGATGGTAGGTATGAAACAGTTATACATCACTATATAGGTTTTATTATATTATGAACCAGCAATGTTTCATTGCATACTACCTTCAGCTGCTTCAATACAGTCTAAAGTAGATAAATGAAAACCTTGGCATATGATAATAGCCATATAAAGTGGCCATGAACTCGACATTGATTTTCATTAAGCATTCTTGTTTTAATAATATATTTATATCAATGTACTTTATTGAAAGTGTATCAACATGTGATTGCATGTTCACCCAGTTGTTAATGAAAACACAGAATGAAACTGTCAATCAACGCTATTAGGCACAATTGTCTGTACAACTTTACATATTTGGTACCATATGAAGGTCTCATCTTGTATACATTGAAAATGTATGTTGTGAGTCTGGGTGGTGTGATATTATATATACATATCTATTATTATAAATATTACATATTTGCATCTAAATACAGTATATCTACAATTTACTATGTGTTTCAGCTTGGGTATTTTAAGGATGAGCCAATAAAATAAATACAATACAGAGAGGTCATATTGACCCAAAAATATGAACAGATTTCAGCTTAATTGATTTAACATCAAGTTGAAATAACATCATTCATGATACACGAATAAAATGCACTATGTGAACTGTAGAAAACACTTACAAAATCATAAACTATTTCACAATGAGGAAATCTATATTTAACACAAAATGAAATCTACATCTGAAGTTGTAGTTTGATGTTGCACCATTATAAGTACTTTTACTTCAATTAATGATTTTATGTTGCCTTTTATTAAGTCTTTTATATTTATTAGAATGAATGATGAAATTCTGATTCTGAGATGACAAATAAAAACTCTACAAAAATGGAGTTTTACGTGATTAGTCTCACGTTCTTGATAATTGCTATTCAGAACAAAAGACATTGGAATGCGGCACTGCTATTATATTGCCTAATAAGGAAAAATCAATAGGATGAATCGTTCAAAGAAAATAATTAGTTGCTTAATTTGTAGGTCACCTTCAAAAGCTCAAAGTACACGTAATATGCTTTTAATAGATCGACAACAATAAGTGACTCTATTAATGAACCATATTCTTGAAACAGCAATGGGAAAAACTGGTGACTGCACTTACAGAAATTGATATTGACTTTGTTCTTGATATTTGACTTGAACTACAATAAATGGTAGGGAAATAAATTCTTTGCAGTTGATTACATATTTGATTATAGCAAATATATTTTCCTAAACCAATTAATAACATTTGTCGTTTATTCGGCTATTCGGCTATTCGGCTATTCTGCTCTTCGGCTATCAACTTTAAGTTGAAACTTATTCCACAAAGTCAAATCCAATAGTTAACTTTTATGTCACAGTGCTAACATATTTTTCATCAAAATTTTGCAACTGCAACAAAGTTTCTTTTTTTGTACCCTGGAATATTATATCGATATTAATATTGGTAGAACGTGATTGAATCCAGGTGTGGGGATAAAGAAAACATTCATTATAAAGCAAACATTGAAACAAAGGTGAACAGGATTCGTGATATAATAGGCACGATTTCAAAAACTTTTAACCAATATTATTGGTTTATTTTCAGTTAAACCAGATCAGATTTCTTTTTTCTATTGATTTCCAATTTTCATATCATATAATTTGCACTGTATGAGTTCTGTCCCCTTTAAATGACAATGTATCTTAATACTACTGTACATGTACATGAATTTTGATGGAATGTACTCATAGTACTCAATCCTGGAATGTTATGGTATAAGAGAGATGTTCTGAATAGTAATTGAATTTTCATGATATTGGCACTTTTAAGCCTATTCCTCGATTATAATGGCCAAATAGAATAATATCATTGCTCTATAAATATGCAGTACATTGAAACCTGTAAAGTGGAACACCTCTATAAGTTGAGCACTCCTCCAGCTTATTGGCTTATTGTTAAATGAACCTCTGTAAGTGGAAGAACACCTCCCTAGTGGAACATTTTTAGAGGTACCAAGAGTGTTCCACTTTCACAGGTTTTACTGTATATAAATCACATTTAAAGGCAGCCATTGTGCTGACATCCATAGCTGCCAACTAATGCATAAATGAAGACTAGAAACTGCTTGATGATATGTCCTAGAATAATCCCAAATGAGCTTCACCATCTTTATAAAGTGCAATATATCATCCATCTCAGATCAATTTAACCTTCATAACTTTCATAAATGCATCAAACATTACTAAGGCGTAACATGACCGCAAAATTCACTTTTTGTAGACAGAGATGACAGGATAGGAGTAATTTGTCAGTTTAAATATTTGTAAATAGCATAACATGAGCACCCCCTCCCCGCAAAAAAATCTTTCAAAATCATGTAGTTTTTAAACATTCTGAACACTTTTAAAGTGATTTAGGGCCAATGTTGTCAACTCACTGGAATTTTAGAAAACTCCCCTGGAATTTTGGAAAATCGATTCCTCCTGGGCAAAAGCTGGCTACAGGCCTGCTCATTTATTCTCTCTTCAAGCCTCTCTTACCTTCCCCCCTCCCCCTCCCCTCCCCAATTTTCAATCTAACATCCCTTTTCAATAATATGACTTTGCTTCCTTAAAAGAGAGCTTTCTTTAAACAATAGGTTTATTTCATTGCATGATTAACAATAATATAAAGTATATATTAATATATGATCATGCAGCAAATCACATTTCAGCATTTTATGTCTGCTTTCAAATAAAATATTTCCAGAAAAGTATAAAAAAACACATCCATTGTTAAAAGACAGCTTCATCTACTTATTTTCATTTCATTTTTTCATATTGTTATAGTTTCTAACTTTTTTGTGGTGGCAATCAGCGGTTGGTGTTCGGCACTTGGTGTTCAGAGTTTGGCATCTGTAACAAATGGCAGGTGGTGACATTTTGCATGTTAATGCCTTGTTTACTTTTTGTCGTTACAATTACAATTTCTACCTGATTTTGAAAGGAAATAGTAGAGCTAAAGGGATGTTACAGAACAAATATCAGGAACAATTTGTAAGGGTGTAGAGTTTAAAGTACATCCTTTCATTGATCTGCAGAATGGCTATGTAGGCTAAAAATGGATGTTTATATAAACTGGGTTGTGGAAATATCAACCCCCTGGAGTGAAATAAGAATGTTAATACCCCTCACTATTAAATTACCTAAATAAACAATAAAAAATTAGAACAAAATAAGGCAATAAAACTTAAAACAAATCTACTCTATTAATAATATAAGCATATATATTTTTATTAAGATTATTAGGTTTAAAGGTTTTTTCATATTAGCTTAGCATTGTTGTCAAACAATACAACAAAATTAACCTAATAGCACATGTAGATACCTTTTCTCCACGAATACCATATAATACTTGTATATCAATATAAATTAAATGGGCTCAATGCCTATATTTGATTTTTAAACAAACATACCAAAATATACTCTTTTTGTGTAAGGTCAATCAATGGATTACCATTTATTGAAATAGCATGGAAGAAGCCCTCTTGTAAGAGGTAGAATCAAATTATGATGAGGTTAGAAAATCCTCGTTATCAAATGAATAATGGTTTATTTTATCATCTGATATTATTACTTTGAATATTACCACTCCGACCTGTTCCTCATTTCATATTAGAACCGACAGGCAATTAGCTACCTAAATAGATCACAATTATGAATTCATCAAAGAGAATAAGCGCTTTGAAAAAATAATGAGACTACAATGTTACCATTAATGAATACTAGAAAAATCCTTATTATGTTCGACAGTGCAGTCAAGATGAGTCAGTGCTCACTTTAATGGCAGTTTCACCAGATATTAAAATTAATGAGTTTTCCGAGAAATTACAATAACTCAGATTGATTCTATTAAAAGCAGAATCCTCTTATCGGGTCACAGAGAATAAAATATGTTCAACTTTGTACTGTGAAATTAATCGGTCTGAATAAAATATATTTCTTGTGATTAATAACAATAATGGTCAAATTCATGACACAAGTGAATAATCTTATCATTGATATCAATAGGTGGTATCATAACTAAGGCAAGGGGCTGTGTGACTATTAATGAACTTGGTGATCTGATCAGCTGGTGGTCTGAAGAGATCTGTTGTGTTTGAAGTTGCTTCTGAGAATGCAACTATAATGTGGCAAATTCCACTAAACACATGTTACATGTATTTTGAACATAATATTATACTGTACTAATAATAAAAAATTATTATTTTCTCCTTTTCATGAAAAATGGTTGCCATTTTGAAAAGTTTGAGACTCTATGTTCCTCATATAGGACATTGGCATATAAAATGTCAACCATAGTTGGTGTTATCAAAGGTTCCTTTTTACAAAAGACGGTGACCAATTTGAAATCATATATGTTAGAAATTTATTTTTAAGCAGAGGTTATATGCTTATACATAAGGCATTAGCCATTTATATTTGAACCAATCCATCAATCAGTATTTGAGTTATCCCATGGACAGACAAATTAATGGACAAATAGATGAACTGATGAACAAATGAAAGGAGAGACAAAAAGCTTCTCTATATTATTACTCAATCTTCATTCAGTAGGATAATAAATGTTTTAAAAAATATACAAGCTTTAAAACATCTTTTTCCCAAATTTTGAACTTAATACAATATGAACTGAAAAACTTCATTCACTTTCAATCTACATTCAGTTTGTTCATTGCCGCTATCCCTGGCTCTTGTAATAAATATATATGTCTGAATTCAGAGATATAGCATCAAAATAAATATAATAAAAAAACTATTTGGAGCAATTTGTAGAATGTATGTACATCTTACATACCAGGTTAAGACAAAAAACTTAAATTAACAAAGCTAGACTAGACAGTAGACAGGATCGAAATGTGTCAGACAACTAAATACTCGTACAGGGAATATCAAACTGGACAAAAATAACTGTGTGTATGAAATAAACTCCCAGCATAGTTAAAAGGAACATTATAACTTAATAGATTATAACTAAGGAGAGCCATTTATCGATCTCCCTGATGAGTTCGATATGGATCAGTCATGCAAGAAAAAAATCATTCTTTACATTCATCTGACAGCTCAATGATAGATTGCTTATATGGAATCAAAAGGAAAAAAATAAAGTTCAGACAAGGTATTTACATGATTGAATAAAATATTATAAGCCACTCGATTGCAATTATAACGTAATACACTGTGAAAAATATCACACTTTTTATTTATCTAAAAATTCAAAATGGCTGCCAAATAATTAATCCAGCATGTCCAAAACATAATCAGATCTTGACACTAGTCTGCTCTTGAATCTGTAAAAAATTCAGCAACTCAGATATTAAAAACAGTTTTCATAGAATTTTGCTGACAAGAAAAAGTGCAATAAATGCCACAAAAAAGCAGATCAATCAAGTCATTGTTCCTCTAGTCTTGATAAATAGTGCTCATTTTGTCAAAAGGTAATCCGAGTCCTTAATGGCATTCACCCTCTAATAATAACGCAGAAAAGTGCAGCACTTAATTAGGAATAAAGAATATGATAAAGTGAAAAATGAAGACTAACATTAGGCCATCTTTCAATATTAGTTTTGCTAATTTGATTTATATTCCTGCAAATAAAGAAGTGAATAACCTTCTTGAAAATTCATTCATTCAAGTCCATGTATACATTTTTGATTCTTCAAGGATGGTAACAGTAGTAAAAGAAGCAATAGTACAAGAGAAAAACCTGCAATCTGCAAGTTTTGAAATTCCTCTTTTCTAAAAAACATGTTGAATAATAAAAAAGTCTACGTGCAAACTTTTCACTTCCTGCCTAATATATCATTTCGTCCTTGGTATAGATCTAGCATTCTGATTAGCCCGTGTGATGTAAAAATATATACATGTATCTTGCTTATTTTTTGTAATTTACTAAAATCATTTAATGACTTACTATTACATGTACTCGAATATAAACTTTACAAACTTGTATCTGGTTATGGCATATCCTTTGACCTGTAACCAAGGAGTAAATACTAATCACATAGTTGAAGCTCTCTATAATGAAATATATTAGAAAGGGTAGCTTTGGCAGGAAGCACAAATTTGTTATAAAAACTATTATCTGGCAGAAAAGTGTAATATACGGTATACATAATTCATGACAGGATGTTAGAGCTATCAAGTGTATAATATAAAAGTAACATATAATATATAGACTAATATACCACCATTTAAATATATTAGCTCTGAACTGATCACTGTAACTTTTCCAAGAGCACACTGTAGTACTTAATGCTTATACCTGTGTCTATATTTCCAGGAGTTCATTTTAACCGGGTACAGTGACAGGACATTGGCATCGCCACATTACAGTCTTCTCAATTATTTTAAAGTACAAATTTTTTTACAGACAAAGAGTGACAGGAAGAATTATGTGAAATCTGTCTTAAGTGCTAATATGTGAGAAGTTTCACAACAAGGTAGCAACCCTAGGTAAGATAACATGGCATAGTATAGAGAAATCGATAGAAATAAATGAGGGTTATGTTATGGGAGGTTTTGGATATGGGGTATATCCTGAGGAAAATATAGATATCTTTCCGAGGGCCTGACAGGTCCAAGGTAAGATATAATATTTCTAATTCTTCTGTCTGCTGCATCTATTCTGACAGTTTCGCTATAGCAAGATATTCTAACAAATTGACTGTTTCTACACAAACCAAAAACCACATATATATCTCAAGCTTACCCAAATTTTTTTGGTCTTCCTGATATTAAAACAAGTAAGCTAGACACTCTCAACCCTGACACAGTTATGTCATGAGTCAATATAATAGTAACAGCTGACATACTAAGATGACATCAACCAAGTGTTTACATGTGATTGGACATGTGAGAAAATGTGGGATTGAAAGTGTGGTAACATTTCAGCTTTGACACAGTTATGTCATGAATTAATATAATAGCAACAGCTGACATACTAAGATGACATCAACTAAGTCTTTGCATGTGATTGGACATGTGAGAAAATGTCGGATTGACAGTGTGGTAACATTTCAACTTTGACACAGTTATGTCATGAATTAATATAATAGTAACAGCTGACATACTAAGATGACATCAACCAAGTGTTTGCATGTGGTTGGACATGTGAGAAAATGTGGGATTGAAAGTGTGGTAACATTTCAACTTTGACACAGTTATGTCATGAGTTAATATAATAGTAACAGCTGACATACTAAGATGACATCAACTAAGTTTTGCATGTGATTGGACATGTGAGAAAATGTGGGATTGACAGTGTGGTAACATTTCAACATTGACACAGTTATGTCATGAATTAATATAATAGCAGCAGCTGACATACTAAGATGACATCAACTAAGTGTTTGCATGTGATTGGACATGTGAGAAAATGTGGGATTGACAGTGTGGTAACATTTCAACATTGACACAGTTATGTCATGAATTAGTATAATAGCAGCAGCTGACATACTAAGATGACATCAACTAAGTGTTTGCATGTGATTGGACATGTGAGAAAATGTGGGATTGAAAGTGTGGTAACATTTCAAATTTGACACAGTTACATGTATGTCATGTCAATGTGTTAAAGTACCACATAAAAAATCTCAGACAATAATTAGAAAATAAACCAGGTCAATTAATGCATGATTAAAATCAATCTGATTTATCTAACCTAATTATCTAGACAGCCATTATAATGGATGATGTCACACTTTAAAAATGCAAAGTTAAAATCAATAAATTTACAAACTAAAATGCATGTACATTTTAGTATAATGTCACGGAGTTAAAATTATACATATTCAGTACAATCACATAAACTTCTTTTGAAAACATTTCAAGATGGTATAAGTTGATGCGACTGAGGTACTAACTTTGCTGCAGTCTGTGGAATTGTCTTATAAATGCATGTCTAATATTATATACTGTATAAATACTTCATATGTCATATCTGTAGTTAATCAATCGCCTCCTCAATGTAATGATGATATCATAAAATATATGTATGATACGTAGTGTGGAGGAAAACATGATCTCAGGACTTTCGAAAGAGTATTGAGTGTACATGTGCATTAAACAAAAATCTATATTAAGTAGGTATTTAATATTTAATAAAGTACACTAGTTACCTATAATTATAACAAAAGACTCAGATCTTACATTTTATGTTATTTTAAACCACAAGTTAAAATAACGACTTTAAGTAATTTTTGGTAATGTTAGCTCTTGTACTTTAACATAATTGTTCAAAATGTTAAAATAATTAACAAAATGTTCAATTAAAAAGTTGAAAACCACTCATAATAACAAATATAAATCTAAGTAAGGCTTGATTTATAGTTGTATTATTATCCACAGTCTAAATTCATCTAAAGCCTTAACGTGCAAAATGTCACCACCTGCCATTTGTCAAAGGCATCAAATGCTGAATACCAACTGCCAAACACCAACTGCTGAACACTAAGCATAAAATAACAACCACCTTCCAGTTTTGCACAAAGAGGGTACAAATAAACCTACAATATCAGTTGAGGGTTAGCAAAAAGGAGAAAACCAGTGACCTACATTTTTGCACTTTAAAAAGTATGTAACTGAATTTTCTAAATTTCATAAATAGTTGAAAATTATTTACCCACAACTAATAATCTAAGTACACCTATGTACTCTTTGTGCAAACCTGAAAGATGTCGACCATGGACAGAATGAGTTATATCTTCCTGAACATAGCACAGGACTCCAATGAGGAAGCCATTAAAATGTCTGAACATATGGAATTACCTTACTACAGAATTTTACTAAAATGGTATTATTTCACCAACCTGCTAAGATTGCCTTGTGTGCATTGTACTCCTGGCCTCCCACATATAACGTGACGTCACTAAATGCAGATCTTTCAAATAAATTACCAAGATCCTCACTAAGTCGACACTCGGGAACTTTAACAGGGGTGCAATTTGATTGGCCAGCTAGATTCACTGTATCTCCTACAACACTGACCTGAAAGACAAAATCACATCATTTCAATTTCTGCCTAAATCGGGTTAAGTAGTGAAAAACCTTTGATGGTCTATGAGCAAAATTAATGGATTTTAGTGTTAACTGGCTTCTTGTGGAGCATCATTTTTTCAAACAAATCATTAACATTTAATATCATTAGCTCATATCAAGAAGTATCCAAAAACACAAATATTAACTGCATCTCAAGGTTATGTTATATCATTGCAAAGGACGATTCTCGGTTTGGAGAACGAATTTCATCAATCTAAATGAGCATTATCCCTGCTTCGGACAAATTTGATTTTTTTACATAATATAGATTTGAATGTCTTCTTTTGAATAGTCATAATTTAATTTGGGTAATATTTCTAGATTTTTTGCAAAAATATATTAGCGCAGTACACTGATGAACTTTTTTCCCCAAATCGAGACTTTATTTTATTGAATCGGTCAAATTGAGCATTATCCCTGCTTCAGACCAATTTGTTATTTTTACATCTTGTAGATTTAAATGTCCTCTTTTGAATATTCATAGTTTAATTTGGGTAATATTTCTATATTTTTCATGAAAAAAATTATTAGCCCAGGAGACTGTTCTCCAAACCGAGAATCGTCCTTTAGAAAAAATAAAAGTTTGCGTCTAGTACATCATTTTTATCTATCACCAATATCTACATCCTTAACATTATCATTGGGTGAAGTTATCTTATTGATAGAGCTCTGAATTTAAAAGACAATTTGTCAAAAAGGCAAAAGTGGGAGCTTGGACCAATGTGAAAATTGCTAGTATACAACTCCATATAATTGATAAAAGCAGACAAATGGCAGATTTAATTTGTCCAAAAATTGTTATAGACAGATTTGTAGATGCATGGAGAAACAGAATAAATGTAAAATGAATAAATGTAAAATGAATCTTTATAAGTAGATCACCTCCCAAGTGAAACACTTTTTAACGGTACAAAAGGTATTTCACTTCGATAGATTTTACTACATACAATAAGATTAATTATTTTGTGTGAATTATATCAATGCGAATGCCAAAGCGTATTATTAAAAACTTATTGTCCATGAGTAACTCAATATTTGTGTTTTATCATTTATTCAAATACAATTTTTATTATTGTCATTGACTAATTTTCTAAAACTTTGCCCAGTACACCTGCTCTGGGCTAAGCTAGTTGGAAAATTGTTTCTTAAACACTGATACCTTAAAATTAGTGAGAAAAATAATATGGAATTCAATCATCGCTAAATTCTATCAACCAATCAGATTTCTCATTACTGTTTATTCATTTTTGGTGAATTAATGACTATTCAATTTGTGAAACAGTTTTATGCCTGGATCCAGGGATCGATAGTGTGACAAAGACATTTCCAGGTCAGCCTGAACTCAAGTCAGCAAAGAAGAAAATCTATCCAGGCCTTAACATTAATTTTTTTCTTTTTTTGTCTGTAAGGAATGATGAGTTAAATAGGTGAATTGTAATAATAAATTATCGCACTGTTTTATCTATTCCTTTCTTTTCGAAATTTTACTAATTCGAAATGTGTTGTCTAACATTCATAAAAATGCAATTATCTACAGAGATAATTTGACTATTAATTCTAAAAACTGGGCTATCCGGACCTCATAAATGCAATTGTTCCTCTTATTGCACTGGAAACAAAAGCAGCCAGTTACTGGAACAGGAATATTGATCTTAGCTATATATATATATATGTGTATATGAAATAGGGCAATGCTTGTAGAAAGGAGGTCACAAATAATTCTAACTTAAACTAATGACAAAAGAAAAATGTGTTACATGAGTTGAGTGATACCTTAATTTTGCACGTATAAAAAATATAAATGCAGTTGGCCAATTACTGAGGAATGAAGGCCATGGACGAACAAATTAATAACAGTCTGGTAGATGGAGGGCACCTCTACATCTGCCCCAAACTCTATCTATTGGCCAATAAAGAATAAAATAAAATCAGATCGGGATAAGCCATATCATACTGAATTCAACCTATTCGGTTAATATGACATAGCATGAGCTACGTGCAACAGACAACTGATAGCATAGAAGATATTATAGAACATAAAAACTAAACCAGTGTGCTAGAGACCTAATTTTTGATCTGCTAGTAGGATATTAAAGAAATTGGTGCCACGATACAGGGATGGATCTGAGGTTCTATTAATAGAGGGTGACAATGAAATTATAAAATGAATCATCTGTAATAGGACTTTTTCAATAATTGGATATATTTAATGTAGATTTCTGACCAAATATATATACTTTTCAACAGATATCGAGAAATCTTAAAACGTGAGACTAAATTGAGTATCAGAGCCCTAAGTATGAGACAAATTTAACAGTAAAACCTGTATTTAGTGAAAACCTATAGAGCCACAAAAAGTGTTCACTGTAGGTAGGTGTTCACTATAGAAAGGGGATGATAGGACTCACAGGAGTCAATGTAAAATGTGCCTTGAAGAGGTGTTCACTAAGACAGGTTTTACTGTATTTTGTGATATTATAGTGCAACAGAAATTCTCTCACTCACTAGGATGTTCTCATTGGAATTATTTATTTTGTGCTATCCCATGGCCATAATAAACCTAGTAGCTAAAATTACCACTAATTTTAGATTGATAAAGTGATCAAGTTCACTTGCACTTTAGCTAAACATTAAGAGCACTGTAAGGTAAAACATGTAGAATTCACTACTTAGTTAGTTTTACTCCTGACACCATTCCTTACAAGATTGAAATTAGGCCAAACCATGGTTCGATTTATGCAGCAGGTCTAATTACCTCATTACAAAGATTTTTGAAGTGTGATACAAGCAAAAATCTTTCATTACAAAGCTTTTAGTCAAAATGCTCCATGAAATAATTAAACCCTGCTGTGCAACACATACCCATATCAACAAAGCTAGTTCTATAGTAAAGGGAATTTCTAATTATGCCACAAACACAAGGTCATCTAAATAAACCGTACCAAAGTCATGGAAATATTGACAAGGTGCACTTTTGCTAGTGTTCTAAGTACTCCAAAGTTCAGTATATCATGGTATAACCGGAAGTATCGTGAGGGTTGCACTGTGCTCCAGTGCCAGTATTGAAATCAAATGTTGGATGCCGTATGATGACAATAGAATATTACGAAGATGTCATATCTTGTCTTTCCTTCAATGAAATACATCTGCAATCAAATATGGTAAAACAACATGAATTGGCATGCAATTTTTTGGCTTTTCCCGGTACTACCAATAGATATGAAATTGAGGCTACATGAAACTGGTACTGAAATTTGATGCCACTTGTAGCAATATTCCCAAGGTTATTATCCAACATGGGTAAATAAGACAATTAACTGCCCTACTGACAATGATGCGCAATAAAAACACATGAACCTTCTTTCCTGCAAGTAATCAAAATGTGCAACACTTTCACGTAATTTTTGCAAAAAAAGATTTAACTTTGAACAAATAAGCCCATACTGGTCAAAATAACAAAATGCTGTAGTTTTATGTTGCACTTCATATCAAGTAAATACTCTGGGAGTCTGCAGGTACAATTAAAATTATACTGAGCTGACTCATCAAAAGACATTGTAACTCGGAAGATGTAGAGCTTAAGACAGCTATTGATTCACGAGGTCTCTCTGACACGTGAATATACTGATTGATTTGGGTCACCTTCACATTTTGCTCGCCCTGTAGGGTAAACCATGAAATATTAGTCTGGGGACATTAATGCAGATTGGAATGAGAGACTGGGAAACTAAGTCTTTTATTGACTTGTAGTGTTTTATGAGTTGTTAATGATGCTTGACTATGGTTATTGTGCTTGAATCGTAATGAGGCAAACAGCGTTAAAAATAGCATTAAAGAACAGCAATTAAAATTGACAGCATTAAAGTAAGAACACAAATTATTTTTAACTGGATCTTAATGTTCTATTTTATCATGCATTTCAATAAATAATCCAAGAAACAGTTTTCCTCATCCTAGACCAATTAACATTGATAATATTATGATTTGAAAAATTGTTGTTTTCTTGAAACTAGTTCCCATTAATAAAAATGATTACGTGATGGTTAAGAAACAGCCTCAATGTAGGAGAATTAATGAGAATGATGAAATTTTGTTTCTGATCTAGCAGTGTACCCTTCCCATGTTCAATACACATGTTGGACTCATGTTCATGTTGTTGGGTACACAGCAATAAGTCTACATCTGTCAATGGTATCAGAGCTACAGGTAGTGAATAAAAAAAACTGTGTTTTTAGTACGCTTTTGCCATTGGGAAATATGAAATAAATGGTATCAGAGCTACAGGTAGTGAATAATAAAAACTGTGTTTCTTAGTAGGCTTATGCCATTGGGAAATATGAAATAAATGGTATCAGAGCTACAGGTAGTGAATAAAAAAAACTGTGTTTCTTAGTAGGCTTATGCCATTGGGAAATATGAAATAAATGGTATCAGAGCTACAGGTAGTGAATAAAAAAAACTGTGTTTCTTAGTAGGCTTATGCCATTGGGAAATATGAAATAAATGGTATCAGAGCTACAGGTAGTGAATAAAAAAAACTGTGTTTTTAGTAGGCTTATGCCATTGGGAAATATGAAATAAATGCTATCAGAGCTACAGGTAGTGAATAATAAAAACTGTGTTTCTTAGTAGGCTTATGCCATTGGGAAATATGAAATAAATGGTATCAGAGCTACAGGTAGTGAATAAAAAAAACTGTGTTTCTTAGTAGGCTTATGCCATTGGGAAATATGAAATAAATGGTATCAGAGCTACAGGTAGTGAATAAAAAAAACTGTGTTTTTAGTAGGCTTATGCCATTGGGAAATATGAAATAAATGGTATCAGAGCTACAGGTAGTGAATAATAAAAACTGTGTTTCTTAGAAGGCTTATGCCATTGGGAAATATGAAATAAATGGTATCAGAGCTACAGGTAGTGAATAAAAAAAACTGTGTTTTTAGTAGGCT